TAGGCAAAGGTAGAATAGAAGAACTCAAGGCAAGTTTTAAGGGCAAAGGTAAGAAATAAAAATATAAATAATAATAATGATAATATTAACGAAAAATATACTGAAAAGAAAGAAGCAGAAATTCAATGACACATATGATGACGACAGTTTTTCAATACATAACCTAATGAAACCAAACACTTCAACAACAATACAACCACCGAAATTGATGAAAAAAGGCATACCGAGAGAATTTATTGACATTGCAACCAACACAGATACTATTGCTACAGCAACCAGAGAGACGCAAGAAAAGTTATACAATGATGCAAATCAACCATTAAATGTGACATTTGAAGCGTTTAAGGTAAAGGAAAACCAGGACAATATGTTTCAAATAATGCTTAAAAACTTTTGGCGCAACACATACAAAAGGAATGAACCAACAAGAACACAAGCAACACAAACACTGAAAAACCAACGCGACGCAATGGTGTCAGCCTTTACTAAAATGCTCGACAACAACAAACCGCCAGAACCACCGCCAAAGAAACCACCAGACGAGGAGGACAGCGACGAAGAAGAAAAAAGATTCAAACTGACAAAAATGATAGAAATAATGCTACACAACGGCGCTACAGTAGCAGATATAATATTAAACTTATCACACAGCACAATTGCAACAACAATAAATATTGCAGATTTAGTTAATCAGATAACAGCAGGAAATGCACAAAGTAGCAGTAGCAATTCATCAAATGAAGCTATTAGTGTTCATAGTTCTCCACCTATTACTGTTCATAGTTCTTCATCTGAAAGTCCAACAGAAATACCAGCACCAACTGAAGACGAAGAAGAAGAAGAAAACCAACATTTCAATTTTGAAAAATTAAAATCTAAATAATATTATATATAATGGGTATTGGTCAAAGTAAAAATGATGCAAATAACAGTATGGAAGACATTAAGACTTTAAGAGTAGATGAAAAAACAAGAGCAGATACCTTAATAATAAAATCTATTCAAGAATGTGTGGCACGAATTGAGAAATTAGAAAAAGAAAAATCTGACAAATTAATATATAAACTTCCTGCTTTACAATTTTGCAATGCTTCGTTAATTTAAATTGATAATATTAAAACATAATTAATATTATTAATTGCTATCATAATCTGTCATTTCACTTTCGGGTAATTTTGTTGAGGCGTTGCTACACATATCATCTATTAAATCTTCTTCATCAACAAAATTATTTTGAAATCTTAATAATTCCTCGTCTGTTGCCCTTCTTTTCAATACCTTATAAAGTTTATGTATCCAAGAATTAGTATGAAAATTATAATTACCTCTACGATAAAATCCACCACATCTACATAGTTTCATTGGCATATTATGATATTATATTAAGTTAGAATATCTTTATTCATCATTTGTAATTTGAAATGCCTGTTCAAAATTGATATGAAACATTTTGTTAATGTCTTTTGAATTCATGTTCACGTAGAAAAAAGAATATGGAGCAAAATTAACGGCTTGATGATACATATCTAATAATTGCTGTTTATCAACAATGGCGCTATTTTCTTCAATAAAACTCATTAGCTCACTGGCATTTTTCAACCTAAAAATATATAATGAACTGGCATTCAAACGAATGATAGGCGCTAAAACATTGTATTTTTGTGTTGAACAAATCACACTTACCGCATCGTGCCTGCCTCTTGTAAATAATCCATGTAATAATTTACTATATCTAACAAATTTAGGGTCGTCTGCGTGGTCATCTATAACGATTAATATTGAATGCAGTTTCTTTATCTTTTTAGATTTCATATAATTAATTATTTTCTTCTGTCTTTCAATTACATTTTCTAAATCACTTGGATTATAATTATCAAAATAAATTTTCTCTTTTTCATCATCCACGTGCAATTCATCCCTGATATATGTTTTAACTTCTGTAAATGTAGGGTCGTTATGGACGCTGGGGGAAAATATAAATATTCTTGCAAATGAATTTCTATAAACATTCAGTATTAAATTTTGAATAAGGACAGTCTTCCCGCCCGTTGAACTCGCGACTATAATACTTCTAAATGGTAATTTTGGCACGTGCTCATATTTAGATTGTTTGAATTCATATTCAGTTATGTTTATTGGTTTTATTATTGGAACATCTGTCATAGTTGATATTAAAGATATATAGAAAATTATATTTAAAAATTAACTTGTAATTAATATTAAATGGAACATCATTTTTATGATATGCTGGTGGCGAATATCATAAAAATGGAACAGGTTTTCCATTGCTACAATCAATAAGCATTGAAGCTAATTAGTTTGTATCTCTCTCGCGTGTGCAATGAAAACCCCAAGTGCTGTGCCCCACCAATATTCTATTATGCATGAAAATAATAAGATTAAATAATTTAAATAATTATTTTATCTTATTATTATATGACTGTTATCCATTGCAATTGTTGTAAAACTTATGATGACAAATATTTATTTAAACATCTAAATTCAAAATATCATCAGAAATTTGTAGAATATAGATGGAATAAAGACGATACAATGAAAAAACTTTACAAGAAAAGAAAGACAGAAATGAAAAATAATTTATCTTATTATTTAATATGAAAAGGAGTTATACAGATTATATTAATATAATAGATGAAATGGAGAATATAGAACAAGTAATAATTACTGACAATAAAATAAAAAAATGTTGTTATTATTCATTAGAAATAATTAAGTTAGGAATTCAATATCTCAAAAATAAAAATGTAAATATTAATATAAATGGGAAAAAAGAAAAAGAGTAAAGGCAAAGAAAGACCAACACCAGATATTGAAGCACGGAAAGAAACAGCAGAAAGTGTTAAATCAATGGGTGAAAGTAAGACTATAAAATGTGATAAATGTAATCACATAATGAATTTTAAAAATGAATTGACAGTAGATAAGAAAGGTGGAGTTAAAGTTAGTTGTGTCCCATGTATGTTTTCTTATAAAAAAACAGATAAAGATTTTAATATTCAGAAAAGAACAGATGGCGATATGGTTATTGAAACTAACGAACATTTGATTAATGTTAGTTTTAACAGGGACATAAGTTAGTATTTAAAGAGTAGATTTAACATAAATGCACTTTATAAATATATAATTAAATAAATAATTATCTAAATAAATATATAGTAATGTCTGAATATGAGAATTATACTATTAATGATTTAATGAAGAAGATAACATTAATTGGTAACAATATCAAAACCTTAAATGATATGATTAAATCCATTGATGACAAAATGAAACCAGTTGAACGCGAACAACAAAGCAACGAAGAGAAGGAGAAGATGAATACGATTTTTGAAAAGAAAGGGATAGGCAGACCTAGCGGTGATTATGATACCAAGCGTAAAAAATACTGCGATATGTTAAATAAGGGACAAATCAAAAGTCCAAAAGAACAAACATTAGAATATTATAAACTAATTAAGGGCAATGATGATAAATATGTAATGGTTGGAAATTAAAATCTAGATATTTCTAATAATATGAATTTATTAGAATTATTTAGCAACAAGACCTATATAAAATACCTAGTAGTTTGATATTGGAAACTGTGATGAGTTTGACAGAAATCGGGGAATGATTTTGATAGAATCGGGGAATGATTTTGATAGAATCGGGGAATGATTTTGATAGAATCGGGGAATGATTTTGATAGAATCGGGGAATGATTTTGATAGAATCGGGGAATGATTTTGATTATAACCATGCTATGATTATAACATGTAAAATATTATATGTTATAAGTATATTCCAATATTTAATTTTATTTCTTGTAAAAAAGTATTTAAAGAAATAAACACTATATATATATATATATATATAGAAATGGAGTTTCAAAAACTACCAGTTGAAGTTATTAATAATATTATGTCCTATAAATATGGCAAGCCAGAATATATGAAAATAAAGCATAATCATAATGAAACATTGAAGAGAATACAAAGAAGATATAAAATTGACAAAACTGACATAGAAAGGGAAACAAAGCACTGTAATAATTTAGATGGTGATAAAGTAAAGAGACAAATATGTCAATATTATGTTTCTAGGAAGGTTCCATTAAGCATTGAAAGTATTGAAGATATAGTTATGAAAGAAGGGGATGAAATAGATAGCTTACTAGATAAGTATGTAGGATATGAAAGTTATAAAGCAATAATAATAGTTGATATAATTTTACGTGTAAGGTTTCATCATTTTAATTATTTTGAGGATGATGAATATAGCAGTTATGGTTTTGATTTTCATAGTGGTAGACACTTAATGGGTTCTATAGACCAAGATAATATAACTGATGTAATGGAATACGCAGTTGCAACAATATGTAGAAATATTGATAATGAAAGGAATACAATGAATATTGTAGGAGTAAAACACATAAGGTTTATACTAATTATTGATGAACCTGAATAATATAACCATACTATGATTATAACATTTATACCCTTATATGTTATAATTATAATGTAAGTATAGCGTTTTATATATTGAAGATAAAATCCTACAAGGTGGGCCATGCGCAACTCCGGAATATCCAAATTTTGAAAAATGATTAATTATTTGTCTTCTCATTGAATTATTGAAAATGTTGTTTCTTATTGAATAATTCTTCTTAAAATGATATATATATATATATATTTATCTCTTTTGAAAAAATATATTTTCTAAAATATTTTGGAAAATGTGTGTTTTTGAAAATAAAAATGTTTAGGTGTATTGAATTTTTCAAAAAATAATTCAATTTTTGTGTTGGTATGCAGTACTAAAAAAATATTTATCAAAATGTGTTTAGTCTGTTTCAAAAAATGTTTTAAAATGGCTGTTTTGAGGCGCTTATTCAAAAAATGCAAAAAACCCTAGGGTGGACCCCAGACTTTTGAGTCCGGAAAAAGTTGCGCATGGCCTGTCCTAACTGTCATTGCAGCTGCACGGGTCTTCCCCGTTAGGCGCACAAAGAACCGACTCGCTGCACCCTCAGATTGGCCTGACGTAGAAGGGCTTTTAGTCAGCGAGCAGACCGAGGCTTGTAGCAATGTCAACAAAGTATGCCCAGATATGCTTAGCAATGCCTTGAATGTCCTCTTGGTTGTATGAAGGCATTTCTTACACGAGCGACTGCAGTCATCATGAGTCCCCAGCGCGGCCCGGAGGCAGCCCCCGACGGTCACGTGACAGGCAGGGCACTTGGCAAGGTGGCGGTTTATTTGTTTTGCGGGAAAGCGAAAGATACCGCAAGCAGCGCTGCAAGCATCAGCAGTGGTAGAGGTAGATGAGTGTTGCCATTCCACACTGAGGCTTTGCTTAACTTGACATGGCTGCCAGGCGTTTGTGAGTTGGTCACAAAACCACCATGGATCCTTGGCTGAGTTTGCCGTGTTCTTTGTATAGCCACCGCGTGCGACGACTTCTGCGGACGGCTCACTGGTTGCTAGCCAGCTAAAGACAGCTGGCCACACAAAAAGACGGCCCCAGAAGCCTCCCCTTTCCTGACAGGACAAAGTATCACGACCTCAGGGCCTTGCAACCTCACCCATGAAGAATCCTGTTTGTTGTCCGTTTCAGGTTGGCGAATGTGAATTCACCCCCATCGAATTGAAGTCCTAGTGCTTACCCTCGCCCTTTTTTCATGCTTGTGAATGGTTCCTGGCAGTTTTGTTTCCTGCGCAGGTCGGACTCTGCAACCTCCAAGGCGGCAGCATGCCCAGATTGCCTGATGGGTTCTTAAGCGTGAGGGTGCTCCAAAACTTGGTTGGCTGGCTCCCCCTTGCTTTCCCCTCGAAGCCAACCCAAAATCGGGGGGTTCCAAAAAATGACACACCCAAGTGCCCAGCAGTGAAACTCCTCCAAAGCTTAAGAATTATTCTGCACGTGTTTAGATGTACTGGCTGAAGAAGGCCTGCTCCTACATGGCATAAGACACCCATATTTTCCCTAGCAGCTGTTAAGTCACTTTCAACCCCGTGCCCGCTAGATGATACTGTGGATGGGCAAAACCCTATGAACGGGGACACTAACTGGTGCAGAATTCTCGCCAGATCGAGTATTTGTGATACAATGTCTATCATCAGAGCAAGGAGGGGCAGTTGTCCTGAATTGGCGGGTCCACTGCGAACGTGCACGCACGTTGTATCCTTCGTGCAGTAAGCATCATGGCCAGAGTTTGGGGACAAACTCATGGCTTTTCCGGTTCTAAGATGCACAGGCATTCTGCCGTCTTGTTTGTGGCTGCTTCTTTTCCAACCTTCCACAAAGCAGCGAGAGGATGCACCTCTTGGCTTAGGCACAAGAGGCGAGCGCAGGCTGGTGACAGAGCTCTGTTGGGAACCTTGGCAAGAGCATTCGCGCCAGCTCTACGCACTTGCCGACTGAAGAAAAACCAGAGCAAGTGGCCATCACCATGTTGTGGTTGTTTGCTACTTGTTGCCCATATTTGATATTGTCAATTGAACTTCAGCTGCTTGAGTTGACCGGGTGGACGGTGGAACCGTGCCATTTGGGCAGACTGCAGGTCCCAATAAGTTGCCTCGCATGTTGACCGGTGGCAGATGTCGATATTGTATCGCCAGGTCCACATGTTGATCAGCACACAATGCTTGTTGCAGGCAACAAAAGTCAATTCTGAAGGTACTTGTCAAGTGGAGCAAGCTTCAATGGTTGGCATGCGCGATGGCGCGCAGGCAATCGAGGTTCTAGATCGCCTAGAAGGAGGTGCTGGTTTGCGACGTCTGCGGGGTTTGTCGCCTCTTTTGGTTTTTTAGGCAGGCCGTATTTGTTGGCATCCTGTTAGTTTGCTACTTCCCGTTGGTTTGCCACTCACAATGAACATCCACAACATATCGGGTTTTTTACTGCTGATTTCTTGCGGACGGAGGAACTACCACAAACCCTATGAGGCCGAGAACCCAAGTCGTCAATATTTCTTGCCTATCCAGGGCTGGTATCCATTCTAGTACCATAGAAGCTGGTCGCAAGGAAAGGCAAGAGAGCAACCGCCTAGACAAGAATGTGTGTTCACCGTTATGCTACATTCCATCCATACTACATTGTTTCTGTTGGGAGCATGCTCAGTGTGCTGGTATTGGTTAGTGCACGAATCTCCAAATCTGCCGGTTTATCCTGTTGATTGGAGATGGCGGCAGGAATTTGTTCCCGTTGCCCTCCATAGGTTTTCCAGCAGGTTTCCGTTCCACTTGGCACCAGGCACCAGAATGGAGGATTTTGACTCACCAGGCCACCTATGGAAACATTCAACACTAAGCAGTGCCTCATAGAGCCAGGGAGCCGCGCAGGGTTCATTGGTCGAATTCCGCGGCGCAGGTCCGACACGGCGGGTTGCCCCAGCGGTGTTTGGAACTCCGATTCTTCTTCACTGCCTAAATTGAACACTGGGGGTGTGCCTGCCAGCGAACCCCAGGGCTGCTTTGAAAAATGAGCAACCGGATTGCTTGCTGTCCCAAGAGAAAGCCTGAAAGGATTGAGAAGGACATGCATTCAGTGAAAGGAGCAAGGCAACCGAGACAAAAGAGGCACCTCGCTAGGCCCAGGCGGCCAAGATGCTTCGCAACTCTAAGTCCAAGCCTGGTACAGCCGTGTTTGGACTTTGACCCCGGTGTTTTCAGACACAGACTCATTCTGCCAAGCCATGAGCAAAGTGTGAACATTGCAAATCCCCTCCTCCTGTTTCTTTTTTGTTTGGATCCCATTTAAAATGGCTAATCCGCTTTCGGGAGGACCATCACGAGTTGTCCGTCGGCGCTTCACGACAAATTGGCATATGTTGGTTCTGGTGCTGAAACTTGCTGGCGGGGCCGGAGCTTCCGGCTGTCAGATAGCCGCATATCTCATGCCCTTGCGCGGTGTGGGGAATAATTGTTAACTCTCCCCTTGGAATAAGGCACCTGAAGGAAGGTTCCTCACAAAGGGGGCGCTCTCAGTGTCCCTCCTCCGCCGTTCCTCTCTACTTCCATTGGTTGCATTTGCCATCGGCTGAGGCCCAGATCGAAACTCCCGAGCCCTCAGGCGGGCACCTTTGACCCTTGGCTCCTTTTTGGGAGCCTGGGGCAAAAGCCCTGTTGATGCAGGTGCCATATCCTGCCAACTTCGGATTGACAGTTAGAGGCTACAGTTGTTCTGACAAGCCTTGACGCTCCGGCCGTGGTGTAGACAAGCACTGCGTGAGAGGCATTGGCCAAGCAAAACAGTCAGGGGCCTAGTGTCCCAGATGAGTTCTGAGACCAGCTTGGAGTTGATCGACAGGCTGTACCTTGTGGTCACTTTTATTCACGGCTTCAGCCGCTGACCTTGCCCTTGAAACCAGAGGTCGTGCTTTGTATCCAGCTAGCAACCGCGGTCAGCTTGTTTTTTCCTGAAGGGCAATTGGTGGACTGGGGCTGGGCTGTATACCTTCGGGCTGCATCCTATACAGAAAACCCCACTTGACAAGTGGTGCTGCAGACATGTTCAAAGAGGGGTAGCTGCACGACCTCAAAGGGCCACAACGTTTGATTTGATTGGATTATGGTTGTGTTAATCGGAAGTATCGGATTCCAATTGCTGGATAGCTTAGCCTGCGTCTGCATTTCTCCAACTCTGAGTTAATAAGGTTCCCCCCCCTTAGAGCATCCAAGTGCCCATCAGTTGCGGTAGCCTTGCAGTCCTTCACGCTCAGGTCGGTTCCATCGCCAAAAGCAGAGTTGCAAGAGGCCCTCAGTGCGAAGACCGTGTCAGACAACACAGACATGCGAGCCAGATGACACATTGGGCAAGACAACAGTCAGCCGCAAAATAGCTTCGGCTTGCGGACTTTAGGGTTTAGGGTTTGCACAAATGTGTGGTTTAGGGCCGCCGTTCGACACATGCACACAAGCAAGCAAGCAAGCATTCAAGCTGGCAGGCAAGCAAGCAAGCAAGAAAGCAAAGCCAACCAGCCAATCAACCAACCAGCCAACACCAGCACCAGCACCAGCACCACCACCTAAACGTGCGTACGTACGTACGTACCTACGTACCTACCTACCTACATACAGACATACAGGCATACAGACATACGGGCATACAGACATCAATACATACGTGCATGCATACGTACATACGTGCATATACACATACGAGCATACGCATACACACACACATACACATACACGCATACACACATGAGCTACCACTAAATTTTGATTCAAGCGACACGCATTGGAATGGAATAGGGTCCAAAAGCCGCAAAACCGAAGGCGAGGCTTGAAAACGAAGGCTTGAAAGCAGTCGTGACCCAGCGCGCATGCTGGGGACCATGGTAAGGACACCCACTTCCGCGCTCCGCCAATGGCCCGCCCGCCATTTGCCAGTGGCACGCGCAGTTTCAGCGCTTGAGAACACACTCTGCGCACACGCGCAGTCGGGACCCACACGCATGATGGTGACCATGGTAAGAACACCCGCTTGCGCGCTGCCAGTGGCGCGCGCAGTTTCAGCGCTTGAGAGCACACTCTGCGCAGACGCGCTGTCGTGCCCGTGACCATGGTAAGAACACACGTTTGCGCGCCATGCCAGTGGCGCGCGCAGTTTCAGCGCTTAAGAAAACACTCTGCGCGCACGCACAGTCTTGACCCGCACGCATGATGGTTACCATGGTAAGAACACGACGCAGTCGTGACTCCCCGCGCGCATTCTGGTGACCATGGTAAGAACACCTGCTTACGCGCCAGTTACAGCGCTTGGAAACACACTCTGCGCACACGGCACGCATAATTGCGCCCATGGTGAGAACACCGCTTACGCACTCCGCCAGTGGCACGCGCAGCTTCAGCTCTTGAAAGCACTCTGTGCGCAAAGCCATGCAAGCATGATGGTGAGCATGGTAAGAACCGCTTACGCGCTCCGCCAGTGGCACGCGCAGTTTCAGCGCTTGAGAACACACTCTGTGCGCACGCGCAGTCGTGACCCGCGCGCATGATGGTGAGCATGGTAAGAACACCCGCTTTCGCGGTCCGCCAGTGGCACGCGCAGTTTCAGCTGCTACTACTACTGCTACTACTACTGCTACTACTACTACTACTACTACGGCTACGACTACGACTACGACTACTACCACCACCACCACCACCAGCACCACTACTACTACTACTACTACTACTGCTACTACTACTACTACTACTACTACTACTACTACTACTACTACTACTACTGCGGGCGTCCATCGGCCACTTTCAGAGAACGATTTTTCGAACGTATGAAAAGGGCTGTTGCATGTCACATGTACGAATGGCGAAACGGCCGAGGCTTTATAGCGAAGGCTTGAGAGATATTCCAGTTTCGCGCATTAGGATTTTGGCGGTAGCTCAGATACATACACACACAGACGCACACACACACCCACACACACATACGCACGCACGCACACACACACACACACGCAGACCCTGGCCCTCAGTTTGTCTCTGAAGAACCCCGAAGATGCAGAAAGCAAACATACACTGATTGTCATGTCATTTTCTGCTGCCTTTGGTCGCGCAAGTCGCGCAAGGCAACACTTGGCACGCACACGTTCAGGAGAAGCCAGATGCTTCGCAAAGCGGGGAACGCAAGCCAGCGCTGCACGCTTAGTTCTGTGGGACTGCCGGTTGCCAGGAAAGTTGGGCTAAACTAATATATTGGATGTTTACCTGTGCTATTTGTTTTTTTCTAAAAGGACACCTATGGTGTGGCGGGTTCAATTGTGGTCTTCGGCATCGATGTTTTATGCGTTGTTGCTTCAAGACTTTGACATTGTTTGTACACAGAAGCGTGTTGCTTGAAGGATGCAACACGATGCAAGGGGCATGCAGACTCCTACCCACAGATGAGCAACTATCATTGAGCATGCTACAAGAAACATAATATGCCTTTGCAGCTGCAGCTGCCACGCACAGGGGTGGCTTGGTGCTGTTGGCTTGGTTTTTGTGTTCCATGACATGTCCTCAGAGGGGAGTCTTCAAGCCTCCATCAACAATTGAATACTTACATCAGGCTTGGCCACTCAGAGGAGGCTGTTGATTCATTCGGCCCAGCAAAGGTCTATCGCTGCACATGGCCAAGCAGGTCGCGCCGATGCAAAGCCGCCAAGTAATGAAGGCACCAGCCTCCAAGCAAAGACGGGCTTCCCGGCCGACTTTCCCGGTTGATTGAGAAGCCCGCGTCATGTTATCAAGGCAGCATGCCGAGAGTGCTTTGGTATGTTTGGCGCGGGATTGATTTGTTAGACAAGCAAGCAGCAGTGGCATTTTCTATCTTCCTTTCGAAAGGCATAACCAGCTGTGTGCAGGAAGTTCTGACTCTGAGACGGAGTCGCTTTCTGCCACATCAGCCTTACCCTCAGCAGTGGTGTTCGACGTCGCAATTAGGGCATGGTATCGTGGCTGAAGCATATTTAAGTAACTAGCCACCCAACCAACCTGTGCACAGCTGAAACCCGTTGTTTCTGGAAATGCCTTTGTTGATGCTACACACATGTGGGCCTGTCCTCCTCTTTTGAGCGCAGCCTTTTTGGGGGGATGTTTCAAGGGGAAACCAAACAGAAACCAGCCGTTTCGGGAACTCCGCTTGGAGATGATCCCATGTCGATGCTGACATCCCAGGCTGCAAATCCGGAGACGGAAGCGCCAGAAGCGCCAGCAGCCGCAGGCAACACCTGGGATGTTGCTCGCACGCTTCGAACAATCTGGGATGTTGCGTATCCCCTGGTCGAGGGCAGTAGTTGGAGTTGTTCTGCCTGGCATACTGTTGCGTTTCGCAACGTATGGCTTTTCCAGAGGAACCATCCGGAGGAGGCATCCTCATTTTGACACAGACCCAAACACATCGCCTTGGCGAGGTCAGGGCGCGACTGCGCGCTGACCTCAGAGACTCGTTGCTGCATGGGAGCAAAAGGAAGCCAAAGGGACGGCGATGTAGGAGGGTTCCCTATGGAATGTTTCCAAGGCGTGTTTGAGTCACGCTTTGTATGGCCCGAGCATAGTGGATGCTGTCATCATGCAAGACCTAGGCATGTTGAAGTTTGCTATTGCGCAACAATTTGGTTTTCCTGCAATCGGTTGCCCGGCTGTTCTCCTTTGCAAGCCTTGCCGGCGCCAGTCTTGCAAACCGAAAGCGATCCACGAATCGGTCTACATGAATATGCCTCGACGACAAAGGCATAGGCGCCTGGGCATAGGTGTCTAAAACCCACACGACCACACGTGTGGATCCAACCATGTGTTTGCAGAGATCAGCACCAAGAGCAAGCCACTTTATTGCTTGTGCTCACCGAAACAAGAAGACCAAAATCATGTGTGTTACGGACAATCTTCCAGAAATCTTTCCGCCACTTTCAAGTCCAGAAATGGATGGTTTGTACCACGCGTTGTTTCTGGGACTCGGGAGTCTTAGGACCTCCGCACCTGAAGGCAGGCAGAGCGGGAGTTTGGATTGTACCCTGGACGGGATCTTTTTGGGGCATAGAGTTGCTGGTGGGCTCGAATGCCAGCACACATGGCGTGCACCTACATGGATGGTCACGTGTTGATATTTACACTTAAGTTTTTGAATGTCAGTCACTGCAGTGCAACAACGTGTTGTCTTCGCTCTTTCTGAGTCGCTCGCTCGCAAGAAGTAGTTGCAAGCTTCAGTGCGCATGTCAGCAGACTCTCCAAACAAAGGCATGAATCCAATCAAAAGAGCTGTCTCTAGACGCGGCCCTTAGCTTGGGCACTTCGGGTAACCGGGTAACAAACGCATCCAACGACTGCGACCGCCCAAATGATGGTCCTCGTTCCTGCATACACAAAAAATATGCGAGGTTGACAAGATATGTGTGATAAAGCGTTCTTGTCCGGGCTCCACTTTTGGACTACCCCAAGGTAGACTTAAACCCAGGTGTTGTTCATGTCCTCCGAAAAGAGAACCCCCGGGCTTAAGTCTATCTTGGGGTTGTCAAAAAGTGGAACCCGGTCCTTGTCTTTTGAATGATTACATTATGGAAATGGTGGCGTACTTAGCATCACATTACATTTACACTCATATCATATCCTCTTCATTGCTCATTCTTCAATTGCCTGGATTTTGAGATCGTGAGATGTGGTTTATTCAGATGACGGTTGTTATGCAACACGCTTCCTTGGCACAAACCTACACTGTGTTGTGATCCGTGGAGCAGCAAATTGTGGAGAACCCACGAGAAACCTGCCCATATTCGTTGTTCCATCCACCGTGGATGACATTCAACTGCATGGAGCCATGCGCAGGCACCTCAGATGACTCTGACTCCGACACCGCCGACAGTCCGGTTCAAGTTAAGGCCCTTCGCTGCATGACGCGCGACAGACCGGCGCATGCTCGCGCATTGTTTAGTGAATAATAGCAGTTCGCTACATCAGGTTGGCACAGAAACTTACAAGCTTCCGCTAGTTGCTCTCAGGAGCCAAGTTGCTAAGAAGGATCCCTGGAGCAACCTGGGGCAAAATGGATTTGGGTGCGCCTGCCAGGGCTTATTGCCAGTTTACATTGCAATATGGGCATTTCGAGCACTCGATCCGATTTGCTATTCTCTCGTTGAACTCCGGCTCTATGACCTCCCACAGGCAGACCCTTTCTTGCGGCGCAAGTCCCACGGACGGGTTGGCAGGCGCGCCTTCAGAGCGCGGAGGCAGTGGCCGAAGTCAAGGCGCCGGTCGCTGTGATTGTCGACCAAGGGATTTGGACAAAGCATAACGAGCCCTTGGGAGAAACGGGCTGATCCATGAATGTCTCTTGGGCATTTCTTCTTTCAGAATTATGGGTAGACAAATTTTGCCCGGACAGCATTGTGTTGGCAAGCCTGGAAAGAATCAACCAGGATTTGCCCTAGGTTGCGTTCTGTTGACTGAGCGGAAGGAGCGCAACTCTTTGGAAAGGCAATCATCAAGAAGGAAGCACACGGCATGGCACATTCCTGAAGTGCCTTTGTCAGAACTCAACATTCGTGGGCCAAGCCTTGCAGTGAACATGGCCTTGATCGGAGCAGAGCATTCAGTAGTACCCGCTAACGGCCGATACCCTCACGGCAGGCCAACTTCCACATGCCCAGGCTCGATCGCTGGGTCCGTTTTGCCCCTCAGATGGCGGGCCGAGTCAGAAGTTGACGTCTGACCTGCAGGCTGTTTGTTGCTTTTACTTGTCCAAAGGAACTGCTCGTTGGTTTGTGTTTGGTGTTATTTGCTGGCGCCAGAACTTAACACATGTTATTTTGAGCGCTGCTTTGTATTGGAAAGATGCCTGGGAAAACACGCAAAGCCTGACTACAACCTGAACCTGGCCGAAACAGCCAAACGACCCAGGATGCGTTGGCTGATGGCAAGCTTCGGCAACATGCACTGGCAGCGGGTGCAACAACTCGCGTCGAGCCAAACTCACTCTTTACGCTTGCTTACATAAAGTTGTGCAACCGATTACGTTGTTCTTTTAACACTGCTTCGCAAATGCTGTTTCATGTTGCGTGGTTCTGACGGCACGGCGTGGTTTGTCGTATGTTTCTCAGCTTGGCAAGCTCGAGCCAAGCCACATTCTGACAATGACCCCAGAAGGCAAACCGTTACTGAAACTGCCACAGTTCTGCGATTTGTTGTCTCGGCGATAGACTTGGGATTTGATGCGAGGCATACACCCTCTGCTTTTCAGGGCGAGGAAAACGATTGGAGGGTTCCAAGTTGGAAAGGTTGCGCTGCAAGCTAGATACGAGAATACGATTAGCAGAACTTTGGCTACAGCAAATACAAGGCAGAAGAACATGTTGAACCCAGACCATTTTCACGAGTGCTGCTTCTTCTAGCTTCCAGCTTGCTCCACGTTGAACAAAGGAAGTGCATGGATTGCTGGGTTTGTGCACTGTTTGCCGTTTTTTGTTTGTGCGTTGCTGAAATGCTCCTGGGGGTGTCACTGGATCACTGCTGCTTGAGGGTTCCCTGGCTGACATCATTGATTGAAGAAGGTGTCATGCGGAATGCCGAGCTGCAATTGAGAGGAATCCAGTCAAGCAGCTGAGGAAAGACCTGGCGTGACCAGCCAAAAGACAGGGAAGCATCCTAAAGACGCCTTCTCAGTAACTCAGGCAAAATGTAACCAGGGAAGGCCTTGCTAGCAGTTGCAAAGCTGCGATTTGGGCTGCGTTTGGCCGTGGCTGGACACTAACGGAAGGATTGCAGCTACCGTGTATCTAGTTTGTAAATGCTCATTGGTTCGAAGAGGAGTGAGAGATAGATGCCCAGCCATCCGGTGCTTTCACCTAGCGTGTTCATCAGCCGTTATAAAGTCACTATGACAACGATGTGGACAAGAGCATGTCTATCACAGAGGAGAATTTGTCAAGAGAACGGTACAACAACTATGTGTGGTTTTGTGAGGCAAGCAGCAACTACGCATTGAATTGAAAAGACGACCTGAAGAATACACTGGCCAGTGAAAGAGTCACCACGATGCCATGTTGACCAGACGAACCAACAAACACCGGTCGACTCGACCCAAGCCGGCCAGGCCGTCAAGGCAACCACCCCCTCCGCCCCCACCACGACGGGTTCAGGTCAAG